GGACACAGAACTAATTGATACAAAACAACATTCTTTTAATATTTGATAGGACCGCACTTTGCAAGGACTCCGGCACTTAGCATGGCTGACATGGATTTGACAACTACGCATGGCTATTCAATTTGTCTTCTCAGCACCATTTCAGCATAGTGGTAGTATCTCTGCAGAGCTCATATGGTAACTGAAGTTATGATTATTATGCGTGTTACAAAACATATTTATAAGGGAGCTTTGGTATTCTTATTTACTTTTTCCACATTCTGAAATTATTTACACGTATAATATTTTAACAAACGAATATCTTAACTATACTTAAGAAATTTGATTTTTTAAAATTACGAATAAAATCACAAATGATGAGAAAAACGCAATAACTGCGCGCTCATTCGCTTAAACCATCTATTCTCACGGGTATTTTGGAGATTAGGGCACGAGAGACTATATTTGCCTAGCCGTCCCTTGAGGAAACAGTTGTGATCCACTTTTAGCTCCTGTGGTCCAAAGAGACTACAAGACTCGACACGTCTGAGAGGCGCGCTGAAGGGAACCCGAAATTCAGTTGACGGGTACGAGACACACTTGAGGACGCAGTATTCATCCCACCCTGCCAGGGGACCTCCGCCCCAAACTGACGCCCTTCAAGAGGCCACTGCGAGGGGAGCGAGCAGACAACCTGTAGGAAGTGCATGCGGGCGTGGAGGTGGGTGAAGGCTGAGTCGGCGGTGGCTATGGTGGAGTGGTTAGCGGGAAAGCTATAGAATTGATAGGTGTCCTTGATAAGGATACTTTTGGCCATGCCATAACGGCTGTGGCGTGCGGTGGCGTCGGTGGCGTGCGGTGGCGTGGCGTGCGGTGCGGTGGCCGGCGGTGCGGTGCGGTGGCGTGCGGTGCGCGACGGAGCGGAGCGAGGCAGAGGCGTGCGGAGCGGACGGAGCGAGCGGAGCGGAGGCGGACGAGAGCGGAGGCGTACGGAGGCGGAGCGGAGGCGACGGGAAGCGGAGCCCAGTGGCGGAGGCGGAGCGGACGGAGGCGATCCGTAGCCGGAGGCGGAGTCGAGCGAGTGGAGCGGCGGCAGCGGGGGCGTTCGTGTTGTGACAATGGTTGAAAATGTTGGGGACTGAGATGGCGTCCCGGCGTGGCATGTTGATGGAGTGTGAGAATGATGTGGCTGAATGCATGTTTCTATAATGATTGCAGCTGCAGAGGTCCGTAAAATAGGAGTGGTGTGTGGCGAGCCACGACACACGGAGAAAACCCGAGATCCAGAAGGGAGTATAGCGGGGACGGACAATGACGGTAAAAATGACAGACCTGCACACAAAAATTCTAATGTGTGTATTTATGCAAAATTACAAGCAAGTAATTGAAAAACAATATATATTCACGTAGTGAAGAACAGTACCCATTTTTTCTTTTATAAAAACGTACAACCGCACTTGCTTCTGCTTTGAAAAAGTTGTCTATTGAATTGAGATAACATCGTTTGTAAAAGACTTTCCGCAAATTTTATGTTGAAAACGTTATTTGAATTTTTACTCGTAATGTTAAAAAATACACGCTAGCGACTCTCAAGGTTGCACAAGCCGACACGTCAATACGAGAAAATGTTAGCAGCACGTATCTTGTAAACTAAGCTAGTATTTTCATAAGAACAGACCACATGGGTTACTTAGAAAGTGAAAATAGCTTCTGTACGAAATACAAAATGTTTATATACTATAGTAACAAAAGAGGTAATAACAGTTTATGCCTGTGGCAACAACGAAGAAAAGGTAAAGAAAATGATGGAAAAGGTCCAGAGTAATGAGAGTATTTTTTTTAATTCGTTTTTAACAGCTCGGCCCATATAGCGACCCCTGAACATCTTAACTTTGGGTAATGTGGAAACACATACCAACTACATACACAAACATCCATTCCCAGAGCGGGATTCAACCGCTCCCTTCAAGCCAAAGCAGCTAACGCCCTTTAAAATATAGCGTCCTCGCTATTAGGAGTAAAAAAATTGTCAAAACTAATAAAAAAGAAGAAGACAGAAATAATGCAAAATTTAAAAAATCAGGTGCAGGAAGATTAAAATTGTTTACGAAATTTTATTAATAACATTAGATTATATATGATTAAACTGTTATGAAGCTAAATTTGCATAAAAGAAAGCGTTTGCTAATAAATGGAATAACGATTTCAGTGGAAACCTTGAAGATAAATTAGAAAACTCTGTTTTCATTTTGTATTTAGATGTCTGTGTATTTGCTTTGATGCTACGTTGCTAGAATATCCTATCATTACTAAGGTTACTATATTATTATTATTATTATTATTATTATTATATTATATTATTATAATATCTCTGTGCCTGATCGAGTATAACCCTTGTGGTATAAAGTATAAAAACTCCGACAAAACCCTGATAATATTTCTTAATAATGTAGTTACATTCAAACTTACGGCAACTAATACAGGAAAATCGACAAAAAGCAAAACACATGGCTGGTGTCTATTAATATTTTCAAACCATCTTTTCCCTTAAAAACAATCAAAACAATAATATCAGCTAAGATGCCCGTGTGTGTATTTTAATTTTTAAAATATTATATCTTCTTTTTTTCTTATAGATTGTATTACAAAACTTTATGAACGATAGACGCATGATAACAAAGACTTGTTTTGCTAAAAATTCTCGGCAATCGCTTCGACGTTTGCTTATTCTATCTAATATGTTAATAACTAGTAATATTACCAACCTACTTATGAATATATCTCTTTGCAGACTCTCACAGCATAATCAATTGATGAATTTGTAATCCATAAAACTAACAATTGTAAGATATTAAACAGCAGCCGAATAACCCAACGTGATGGGCATATACCACGCTCCAGCAAGTGAGGCAGCACCCACTCAGCGAGTAGGCCGACGTCCGAGAGGTCACGTCCACCACGCACTCCGAGACGCGCAGGTCCGCGGCTCACTCTCCTCCTCTCGCCGCCACCACCCACACTCCGTCTCCCCCCCCTTCTGCCACCCACACCCGCCACCAACCCACATCTCCGTTTCCCCCGCCACAACCTCCGCCCACCACCAACATCGCCGTCTTCCTCCCTTCTGACGCCACACCTCCCCACCTTCGCCCCCGCCACGTCATTTCACCGACCACCCCACATCTCATCCTTCCCCTGCGTCTCCCTCCCCCCTCCGCCCACATAACCGTCACCTCCGCCCGCGCTCCCCGCCGACGCCGGTGTCTTCGCTTGCCGCCGCCGCCGCGATCCGCCGCCATTGTAGCGGGCGCTTTGTGCTGGCGTGTAATGCGGAGACGCGCTCCCGGGGCAGGTCGGAGGCGACGCAAAGAAATCAGAGCACACACGTGGAGGGGAAGGGGCTTTCGTTCAAGCCCCTCCCCACCTCACTTCGAACCCGCTCCCGTCGGAGGAGAGTGCAAGAGCATCAGAGATAACTTAAAAATATAACAAATTAAAAATATCCTATTTATAATGTTACTGGTGTGTATGTGTGTGTGCGTGTTGCAAAGGGAGAGAGAGGGATAGAGAGGGAGAGGGATAGAGAGAGATAGAGTAAGAAAAAGAGAATAAATAGTGGTTAGGCGGAAGAGCAGGCCCTATGGCCTGAGCCTCGCCATTAATAAAGACATTATTATTATTAAATAACGAAAACAAGAAAGAAAGAGATAAAAAGTGCGAGATTAATTGATTGATTGTTAGTGATTCGGGGAGTGTCAACTGCTAATGTCATTATTCCCGTTATTTAAGTTCATAGTATTTTCCTCAGGAAGGGGGCGGTAGTTTATCCTCGCTGGATAGCAAGGTCGGTTGCCGACCCACCGAATCACCATACCAAAAAAGGAATATTATTATTAAATTATTTTTATTTTTATTATTTTTATTAATATTATTATTATTATTATTATTATTACCGTTTGCTTACGGAATTTCCCCAATCAGGTATCTCCCACTAGCGGAGACAGGCGGGACGAGCTCTAAGCTCCCGACCAGTTTTCCAGCATGTGTGGTTGTGTAGTGCATGTTAGTGAGTGTGCAAATAAGGGGTGATACGGAAGGAAGAGGAAGGAAAAATCGCGCTCGGTCTGTGACCCATTTGTTAGGGCATAGCTCCGACATTCGCTTGGTATTACACGGAGAAACCACGTAAAACCTCTGATCAGAGCAGCCGGCTAGAAATTCCCGTCAGACAGTTACTGTCGACAACCTCTTCAGGCCGAAATCCTGCTACTGTCGGGGCTCGAACAAAGTACTTCCTGGTCAGAGGCAGTGCAGTGTGAACAGTTGATAGAGAAAGATAGAGAGATAGATTGATAGATAGGTAGGTAGAGAGAGAAGGGAAGTGGAAGGAATTTTAGAGAAATATTGAGGTCAGAAGGTCAGAACGAAAGGACTAGAGGCAGGGGAAGAACAGTAGAGAATGTCGGAGTTAGGTGGTGGAGGGAGGGAGAGAGAGATGTGGGAAAGGGAGGGAGGGAATGATGAGAAAGAGAGGGTCGGAGAAAAGGTGAGAGTGGGGGAGAAAGAGAAAACTCAACAAGGATGGGAGAAATGGGCAAGAGGAGGAGAGAGAAGAGGAGGAAAGGAAAGGATGACGGTGAAGGAGGAAGAGCGAAAAAAAGGAATGAGAAAAGGGAGAGTGGATAATAGAAAAGGGAGGGAGATAGAGAGAAGAGGAAGTGAACGGCAGAGTACAACAGTGTAAGTGTCCTGAAATAGTGAACAAGAGTGAGTGAAAGAACGAGAGAGAAAGAAAGAGAGAGAAAGAGAAAGAGAGAGAGAGGGAGAGAGAGAATGAATTACTGAACGAAATTATACCAATGCGAGAGAGGAAAATAGGGAGGAATAACGTGAAACGATCAACGAGAGAGTGCAAGAGAGTCGGGTGTTGGATGAGCCAAAGAGTGAGAATCGAAAACGGTGGAATACGGAGAAAGGCAGAGCGACGGCGATAGCGAATCCCAGCAGCGCACAAAAGCCACCCGGGAGAGCGAGCGGAACGCCGTGCGGGTGGCGGCCCCCGGCGGCAGCGCTGACGTCGGCGTCGCCCGCGGGCGAGGCCCGCCCGCCATCGCAATCCCCCGATCGAGGCGGTCGTCCGGGGCGCGCCGGTTAAGCCGCTGCTGTCCTTCCGCGATCGCCGCCGGCAACGGAGCCCCGCACGCAGGGCCCTGGCGGGAAGAAAGGCGCGCACGGTGCCAAAAGAAAGGACGGAAAATAGGGGGAAATATGCAAGGAATAAACTAAATAAATAAATAAATGCAAAGAGCTTAAAATTAATTATAATGTGGAATGAAAAAAGCAATAAATAAATAAATGAAGAACGAAACCGTTATCTAACAAATGGTATCATTTGTTCTCTCTAAACCTTCTTGTTATCATTTAGTCTGGTTTTGATGAAACGATTTTGATGAACAGTAGTAATAATGTTAGTTCTAAATACAAATAAAGTCTTGAACCAGCATATACGAGTACTTCAGTGGAAGTAGGGATGTGACCTTTAATAATTTCCTTGATACCATACCGAAATTACTCACATTCACATGAGAACGTCTCTAAAAAATTAAGACAAAAAGTAAGTAGCAAATTTAAAAAAATGATAAAACGATGTACATTTAAATTCTATGCCAATTTACACTAATAATTAGTAATATAAACTTGAGTGGCTTCTTCACGTAAATAAAATTGAAACGTCTTTCCGTTATTACAAAATAACTGCGTGTTTATAGTCTTATTTAGTTACTTACATAATACAAGAACCTATTGAATTGCTTTTATAACTTTTGTATCTGTCCAAGCGAAATTTAAAAAAAATAGATTTTCATGGGGAAGTCATTCGAAAGTAAAGTATTTCGCGTGGCAGAACGTAGATTTAATAAATTTTTGTTCATGTGACCTTGGACAAGACAAGCGTTAATGTCTTTTGAGCTTTCATAAAACCTATCCCATCCTACTCCTTAAATCCAAAGGGTTAGTCTTTGTTCTCGTTCCGGGCCCACTGTGTGCCCGGAGGCGGAGTGTCAGAGCGCCTGGGCGCCTGGGCTCCTGCGCTTGTTTGGCCCCCCGCGGCCAAGCCTCCTTTACGCGCTCAACTGTTTGGCGCCCGCGAAAGCCCTGAAGCAGCCCGTATCTCCTCCCCCTCCCCCATCCCTCCGCCGCGGCCGTCTCAAGAGTGTTCGCCTCGGGGCAGCTCAGAGGATGCGGACGCTCTCAACGAACTAAACGTTTCGTTCGCGAGTTGACTGACGGCAGTTAGGAAGCTGCAGCCTTCCTTCTGACGTGCATGTTACGTACCTGTCACGTTCCAGGACTTTTATAAAAGAATCATGGGAATGCTTTTGTGTACTGTTCGGATAAAACTAATCGGGATTCATTCGCTCAAATCCACGCGCTCTGGAGCTATTTCGATTTCCGAATGCTACTGTTGTCAACGAACAATCTAGAGACGTTGCTACGACAACAGGAGCATTTCCGTACATATTCATTTAAATCAATTCTTTGACGCTTTCATAAAATATTTGGGGATTTCGTCGTAAAATGCATCGCGGTCTGGAACACACTGTTATGAGTTCTCATAAACATGCGGAATTGTTGATAAATTATCGATGGCTGTTATGTAGCTAAATACCTTCAAATTCAACTATATTTCTCCGTCTCAATTTCCCCCCCGCCTGATACATCAAATGGAAGCTGAGAAAAAATTGAAGATGTTTAAAAAATAGCAGTGATTTATTCGGAATTACGGGTGAACAATGTTCCTAATGTTCTCGCACAACTAACTTGACAGTTGACAGATGATAGAAGGCAGTTTGCAATAATTCCTATTTTCTGAATTACCGATATCACACTGTAGAATACAGTTATCTAGGGATGTGTAAAGTTATGAAAGTAATTACAATAATTTCTTTGAGGAAATCTGATTCATTTGTATGTATTCATATTAAAATTTACTACTATTCACATTAATTATTTATTTTTTACTTATTTTTGTCCGCTGACTACTATTCACATTAATTATTTATTTTTTACTTATTTTTGTCCGAATGTTCATACTTGTAAGGAACTTGACGTTGAGTTATTGGCGTTAAGTAGACGTTATTGAGAAAGGAAAATTTTCTTATGTATTCCTTTGAATTTGCTGTCACCTTAGAGGTTGGCATTAAAATATCAAGAGAATGATCTTATTACATTTTCATATAAAATACTAGGATTTGTTCACGATAACCGAGGATAATAGCGTATATTCACATCAACTTCAGAGTTAACACATAACTTTGAAAGCAATATTTTTTAGGGTTTTGCGCCAAGACTTCACGAAATTATTGGGGATCTGACTACATTAATATTCTGATAAAAACATATACAAATGGGAGCTGCCAAGGAGAAGGGAGAATTCAGAATTCATCGTTCAACAAACCACACTCAAAAATGTACATAACTCAACAAATTATATTGTATTCTTTTTCTTATAATTTTAATTTTCCTCCTTTCACGTTGCATACCATAAACTATTCAATTACATTGTAAAGTCAATTGTAGTAATTAAAATAGTCTTAAACATTTACATTTATGTGATTTTAGAACAAATTTATCCATCAATGGCATACAGTAGTATTATTTTCGAAAAGCCCTATGTCTGCGAACAATAGGCGTCCTGAGTAGGCATCACTAGGACAAATTGCTCCAAAAATTCTAACAACAAACCGCCCCAAATCGCGAATTCTACCTGCAACGACAGCCTTGCGCGCGGCGTGTTCCCACAAAAGACCTCGACTCTACCTGGGCCCCGCGCGCCCGCCGTCTTTTTCCAGCGACCGCCTTCCTCATTAGGTCGCGATGCGGAAAATCTCCGCTTTGACCGCGAGCAAAAGCCAACCAGAAAGTTAGCCGTTTTCTCAGCTGGCCGCCACCGCGGACAACAAGGGATAATAAACAGGGCTCGCGGGCCGGGGCGGGGCCGTCCAGTTCATTTCGGCGCGGCGGAGGGCCGTGCGATGTGCGATGAAGCCGTGGCGCGCGGGCGCGGGCCCATTAGGGCCACAAGGGCGCGTGTTGACGGCTCGGAAAATTGGGCTGCTGGTACAAACAGCTGCCTCCCCACCCCCACCCCACGCCCTTACCACCACCGCACTCGGCTGCGATTGTGATGGACTACATTGAAACATTGGACGCATAGTACCTGTTGCTCGATTCCTTATATTTTTTATTTGCTTTCGATAAAACAACGAATGTTGATTTCTGCATGCGCAGTTCGGATTGTGCATGTGCAGATGTTCAAAAAGGGGTTAAAAGATGGTTGTGCGCTACGCGGTGCAAAATGTCCCTTTTATCTATTTCAAGAATCGATACCTCCATGTTCGATCAACACATACCTAAACAATGGGTACTACCAATTCTATCTTACGGGATTAATTCAATTATTTTCTATGGATTCTAACAGAATAGAACGTCCATATTATTGGTGCTATCCCC